AAGAACTGAATGCGAATTTAGATGATTTTATTACAATTTTAGCCGTATTGAATTAAATCTCAATTGAATTTCATTCGATTTCAATTGATTTTAAAAGGAATTCTAATTAAATTTCAATTGATTCTCACGGGATTTTAATTCGATTTTAATGGATTTTAAAATGAATTTTGCTTAAATTTCAATTGATTCTAACGGGATTTTAATTCGATTTTAATGGATTTTAAAATGAATTTTGCTTAAATGTCAATTGATTCTAACGGGATTTTAATTCGATTTCAATTGATTTTAAGGTGATTTTAATTCGATTTTAATTGATTTTAAAAGGAATTTTAATTAGATTTCAATTGATTTTAACGTGATCTTAATTCGATTTTAAGTGATTTTAAAAGGAATTCTAATTAGTTCTCAATTGATTCTAACGGGATTTTAATTCGATTTTAATTGATTTTAAAAAGGAATTTAAAGCCGGCCCTACCAAATCCTTTCAATAAATATTCCCCCCTAATAATAAACAATTGCTGACCACCCGGAATATTTGTTATTACGGGGGGAGTGGGGGGGGGGACGTCGTTTATTATTAGGGGGAAGCGATTAGACCCCAATGTACTGAAATCTTTATTCTGACACTCCCAAAATGGTACCCCTAATTTTGGGAAACTTCCAAATGAATCTGAGCTCCAAGAATTGCCACCAGGCATGGGTGGCCAGGATGGGATGCCACTCGATTAGCAGCCCATTCAGTTCGTGCTGTTCCATCCGAGAAACATTCGGAATCCCAGATCTTCACAGCAACTTTCCTTACTGGAAGTTAGTAAGGAATAAGGGAATATATTGCACAGGGATTACGCAGGGGTTAAATTCCCTTATTCCCTACTAACAACCTGTAAGTTTCTGGTCTCGCCAAACTCCCTCATGGACAGTTGCTCCAGCTCCGCTTCCCAGCTTCTCTCCGAGGTCCACCTCGCTGAAATCCAGGCTCTCTTGTCCCTCGGCAAGATGCCGCTTCAGCGCATCTTCCGCAAAGGGGTTGCCTCCCACAGCCAACCAAGCCAGGTTGGGATGCCTTAGCAAAGCTTCTGGGAAGGCCTCCAGAGCATTTGCTGCAACACGGATCATCTCCAGAGACTTTATCTCGGCCACTGGCGCCAGGGCCCCACAGGTCAGCTTGTTGTGGCTCAGCATCAGTTTGCGTATGTTGCAAAGCCGCGGGATGTTTGGCAGCTCCTCGATTTGATTGCCTGCTGCAATCAACCACTCCAGGCAGACCGGCATGAAGCACCCGTCCAAGCTGCTGAGGCTGTTGTCCTTGATGCCTCAGCATCCCAAAGTCATAATAGTACTATTATTACGATTATTACTGTTATTGTTTTTGCTATTGCTATTCTTATGAATAGTTATTATCCAGAAGTGACCCAGGGAAAAAAGAGCGGCCATCCAAAGTTTTGCGACTGAAGTCGCGTTGCCGAGCATGCGCAGCTTCGGGCATGCCGACAAATTTGGCAATCTTTTCATTCCTGAAGTGGCTGCTGAACGCCAAGGCCAGGTGATTGTGGGGTCCACTTCCAGCGTACCCCTTCAGAAGAAGCAAGACCCCTGCGCAGACCGCCTGAAATTGCTCACAGCTAGCTATTACTATCTGAAAACAGTCTGAAAACATAAGCCAGCGGCTTTCCCAGTACCACTTGCCCTCGCTCGCCAAAAATCCCTGTGACCAATCAGGCCTGGATTCCAACATTGGATGCGAAGAGTATTTCAAGCTTTGGCAGGTGGCAGACAGCTTCTGGAAATTCTTGCCTCACCATTTCACATGCAAGATTTGTGCAATTGCCCGTCATGAGCAATCGAGTAAATCATACCGATGCATGCAGAGTAGTGATTACACGACTTCTTGGTTCATAGCCGTCAGATCCTTTTTTGCAGAAAGTGCCAATGCTCTCAAACCAGCTCAGCCTATCATATGGCAATCTGTAAATCCACGAGCTGAGGCGACAAAACTCCCTCGTGTTCCTTTGTTTCTTGGAGTTGATGTCAACATCTCACCTGCTTTGTTTCGTTAGCTGTTAGCTAAAAATTTGCCTGATCTGCCGAAGTTGCAGAGGATTCCCTCCAATGTCCAACTGAACCAGCTGCTCACCTGGGCCACACAACTCGGGCTTCTGTTGCCCGAGCAAATCAAGCGGCTTGAAGCTTGTGCGGTTGTTTCAAGGATTTCCTGGAGGTATGCAGACCCGAAAGCCTGACATTAAAACTAGTGCCATCCAACCACATTGTCGCAAGGCATCTTCAGGCACGGAGCTCAGTCCTCCCAGCAAGTGGACTTGATTCACATGTTGTACAAGTTCGTCCCAGTTCGAGCGATCAAGCTAAAATCTTGGCTGCTGCGTCCTGCTTTAAATGCCTTCAGCACCCGAAGGGACGCGAGAACATCTGCCTGTTTACTTCATGACGCTTGGATCCGTGCATCTTTTGTCAACTGGAGAGCCTGCGGCTCCCTGAGCAGTTGGACCGCCCTGTCGCCGCAAGCCTCTACCTCTGCCATCAGCGCACCTTCAGCTGTGTGTCAACGCTGTACCAGAACAAGGCTTGCTGCATGTCACACGGCTCGGCTTCATCCAGGCCTCGTTGCTGCGGAGTCAGCACATGGATCGCGTGCGGCACAGCTTCTACGATTTGAGCCCAAATTAACACAAAACAAGCAAGTGACTGGCAAGTGCCCCTCCTAAGCCAAAGCATCTTCCTCTCTTCACGTCTGTCCAAGCCGTGGACTGGTGGGAACGCAAGTCGATCACTTGTTGTCCGGACAGCGTCACATTGTACGCCAGACCTCGGCTAAATTCAGTCAGTCTTCAGCTCGCTCTCGTCGGAGTCTCCACTCTAGATGCTGAGAGTGATGCCCGCATAGCCGAACCTGCTGCAGATGCGGATGGTTTCAGGATCCTACCAACATCGTTGCCGTTGGCTACAAAGAGTTGCGAGCTACTTACGAAGATTGCAACAGCTTGCAAACAAGGGCTGTTCCTGCCTGAGCGCTGTCTCGGCAAATGCAGCTGCACGCTTGGCATCCCAAAAAACATTCAAATCCCAGAACATCAGACTGCCCAAGCTTGTGCTCGTGCAGTCAACACGATAGACATTGATGCCAGAACAGAAAATGATTGATCTTGTCACACCTTTAAAGCCCATCTTCCGGTTCAGCACACGCAAATGCGTAGAGGTGTCCAAATGCCGTGCAAGCACGAAGCGGCTGCTACTTCCTGCTTGTCAACTCACAAGTTGGGTGCTCAAATGTGTCCCTGTCTTGGCGGCATGTCCCTTGAATGCGCAGGATTCTAAGCTGTTGGACCTGCAAACCAACAAGCAAAACAGCGAGTTGACGAAAGAGTCAAGCTTCTGGCTTGCATCCGTACTAATGTGGCACCCTAAATAATGGAGGGGTCCGGAACAATGAAAAGTTTCGGGGAAATTATT